GTTTTAGATATTGAGATATTTTTAGTTATTTTACTTATTTCACATTTTTGTAAAACTGCTAAAATCTAAGGTCACATTTGTATAATCTTTTATATTAGTTATCGTACCACTTTCAACTAAGTTTTTTACCTGTCCTTGGCCTAAAAATTCATGCTGAAGACTGGCAAAAAAATTCAACTTTACATTTGTTTTAACTAAAATCACTCAAATGCTTGAAAATTAGTTTAATCACTCAGTTCTCCGATAACATTAAACACAGTAATACTTTACGTAAATAGTTAGTTGGTTTTCAGATGAGCTATTTTCAGAACAATTGAAATAAACTTCAAACTTAAACTACAGCATTCCACCAGTGGATAGGACAGCTCTGTCTGTAACACATCACTTGTTTCACAATTCAAGACCCTCTTTACCAATTTGTTGAGTTAAAATCTATTATGCTAGTCATTTTTCGCATAGTATTGTTTAAAACATCACAAATGTAGTTTTGAAAATGTTTCCATGACTTAAATTGCTGTTCGTCCGATAAAGACAAGCATACACGTATTGAAAGCTGTGATTGGTCACCAATTTAGTTTGTGAGAGAACATCCCAGATAATTTTTTGATAATTTAGAGGCGTGGATAATGTTGACTGTTTTATTGGTTGGAAGTCAAAAGGACACTTAATGAACAGACAATATTGCAGTCACAATCCTTCGAATGTTTTTTTAGCTTTACAATCTGACAGCGTATTCATGATAGTGAGCTTCAACCTGATCAAACAGTGGAATTCAAGTATCTGTTACAGTTCTGTGTGCATTAGATGTGCTCATTCTACAGTCCTACTTGAACAACAAATCACTGCGATCAGATGACGCGATAATAATCCATGCAATTTATACAACTCATCAAAAAATTACAAACGACCAGAACAAAGAGTGCAATTCTCTTGATTATATGCATCAAATGAGTGCTGAGAGTGGAACTATCGTACTGTGGAACACATTCATAAAAGACGCTTGAGTAAACTGGTAAATAAATTTAAATGTTGTTAATGAAAGTCTCATTTAGCCTATGTTGCAGACAGTGTCCATCCAAGTGTGAACGCAGTTGATACGAAAGCTCATTTGCTGTGCTTTGGTTTTGAAGCATCACGCATCATGTTAAAAGCTAGCTCTGAAATTCTGTCAGCAAGTGAGTCACACAAGAGTGCTTCAAAATAATTGATATTACTAAGCCGATGCCAGCTTGAGAATGAAAGAGTAATTGACTAATCATATCTCAATTACTACTTTGTCACAGTGTGCTCATCACTTACTTTCACCACTTGCAATGATGAAAAACTTGATCATTCCTTCTTATGACTGAAATAACCATACAAACCAGTACATCAGGTTTAACCACGTAAGTTGACGTTAACCGAAGACTGAAAAATAACAATTATACACATCCATTCAGTTCACGATGGTTATTAGGTTGACGTTAACTTGGAGACTGCTATCGCCTGGGAGATAACCAGTGGTTCAATTTATCTTCATTATGCCACTAGTCATTGATTGATCAATGATGTCTTATGTTTTTGTTCTCTACATATAAAAATGTCTTTCATGGTGTACCTACTATATGGACTGAATTAAGTTGTTCATTTCTAATCTTATGAGCTACCACCACACCAACGTCCAGTGAGGTTGAAAACGTACATTAATTGTTACCACTCGATACAAACGTTTGTAGTTATTACTATACTAGTTATTTTGTTATTGTTTGTTAAATATTTTAAATCAGTCGAGTAGTCTATCTTTATATAAAAGCTCATAAAAACCTAACTGTACTTAATTTTGATGTTTTTGGTTGAACAGTAAAGTAATGTTATGAAAAAAACGTTGATTTTGCTGTTCTATACACATTTAAACCAGATTACACAAGTCTCAGATGAAACTCCTGACAATGATTCATAAAAAATGACGAATTCATAATCAGTGAGTGAACACAACGAAAGAAATCAATTCACAATATTATAAAATCACCAACTGTGATCCTGGATTTTTCTTATTTGAGCACAGAAAAACACCGCAACCTAGCGATGAAAGAGAACCTTATTATTCAAACTTAAAGAACCTGTGCAGAAAGACCTGAAACACTGATGAAGGCGGTGACGAATGCACATATCTCAGACTCAATATGCAAGATACAACCTACCTCATCATATTCTGTGGTTGCTGTATTCGGTGAAATTTGTGTGAAAGTTTTCTTAGCTTCAGCTTTTATAAAAATCACTAGTTAAAACTTCAGAAATTTTGTTTAATAATTTTTATCTATGTGTAGGTGAATAAAGGCTGAACAGACTGCAAACCAGAACCATGTGCAATAATCATGTGAAGCATATTAGTATGCAACATGGAAGAAAAATGCGTTGATGCATAAAGCTCTTGAGGGATCTATCGAACTAACAATCACCACCAAACGCAACCAACGTACCTCATAATTAGTTTACACTCATCAACAGTTGAACGCAATAGCGCCTGATCAGAAACGTCAACAGACTCGAAACATTAGGCCGAGACAGTATTCTAGCGGAAGCATTGAAAGAAGGGGTAGCGGCAACTGTATATATGCTCCACAACTGGAATACCAACATACTAAAATGAATAATACCTAATCAGAATGCAATAAAGAAAGCAATCCTAATATGAGTGACAACTCAGTAGGAATCTATTTGCTCTTAATTTTTCAACTATGTTAAGAACAACACCATATAGGCTCTTTTGAAACTTTGGTGTTCCTGAAAATATAGTCAATGTTGAACAAAGCTCTTGTGAAGGATTATACAGCGAAATCATTCACGGAGGACAGCTGATAGACTAGTTTCATGTGAAGACAAGTCTTAAACAGAGTTGCTTACTCTCACCCTTACATTGTACTTGGCAGATGATCTGGATCGTCTTTCGCACAGACGATAACAATTGCAAGAGGAGGCAGCCAGAGACTCAGGAGTCCAAGCAGCAACAGGTCTCAGCATACATGAAGGAAGAAGCAAGTCTATTTTGATTCAACACAGAATGCAACAACCAAGTCATTTTGATTGGAGATGGCTTGTAGTACGTTTACACCAGCAGCATCACTGATAAGAAAGTTGGATCTTATTTAGACATTGTGGTCGATGCAGAGTAGCAAGGGCTGCATTTCCACAACTGAATAACATCTGCAACTTTGAAAAAATATCTAATGATACCAAAATCAGTATTTTTGATACAAATGTCAAAAAATGCACTTGCGTCGGGTGGAAACCTGGAAAACCACAATGGCCATAATCCAGACGTTTCGGGTACTTTTAACGGCTGTATAAGTAAAGCAATTTGGATTCGTTGGTCAGAAACCATCAGTAACCAGCTACCATAGGAGAGAACACACCAGATTTCAAGCGTGAGGGTAATTTGGGAAGAAGCGCTAGGAGTGGATGTGACATTTATTGAGGAAAGCATGCCAATGCGTGATAAGGCATGTTCTCATTTTGAACTTTCAAAGTCACAGGAATACATTTTGCCAAGAAACGGAGACAGATAAGCGAAAAATGATCTCAGACAGAACTGGATAGAGAGGCCTAGGATTGCGGAATACAGGTAGACAACGCTTGCTTCACTGGTGGAAACAGGCGTCGGTATTTAGGTAAGATTGAAGACTGCAATTCACTTAGTATACTAACTAAAACCATCACCCCTAGTCACTTTGCTACTTATCAATGAGTTTCTTACAAGACCTAATATGGAGAAACAAATGACTCAAATATATAGAACTAGTTAGTTTGTGAATATATCACATAACGCAAAGTGTTTCCTCAGTTTCTTTTCAAAATATGACTGAAAAATAATAATAATTCGAATTCAGATAATCGAGTTAATTGAAGATGTATAGAAGAATAAGAACTGTATGATGATTGTACTGTGGATTCTGTTGCACCAGATAGTTTCTAAGCGTCAGACGAGTTTACACATCTTTAGTTGTGTTTCACAGATCTTTCCTGACTTCAAATATTATATGTCGAGTTGAGACAGTCCATCCGTTGTGAAAATACCTTTATAATTTGTTATAATAATGAATTAATATTTGGCAGTGGGCTATCTCAATAAACAAAAAGCTGTTTGGGACTCATCAGAAATGCACACCCACGACTCGTGCACCGCGCAGGATTCAAACCTGCGAATGCCTAGCCATCAGACCACTGGGCCGGCATACAACGATGGTAATGTCTAACTGTGATTGATCTACGAAATTTTGCGAGACCTCACCCATTTGTCTATGGTAGTTACTGCCTACACCCGACAGGGTTGAAATCCATTATGTCTTCTGAACTAGAACTCCGAGAATTTCCTGTCCATACTAGGCACCAGTGAGCACTGTTCCGATATTTTTAGGCATAGTTTTTTGATGTTTTGTGTTTTTACACATTTGAATTCATCAATCCAATTGCTCATAAGTCCTATACCAAGACGAAACGGTTGTCATTCAGTGCTTCTTCCAGGTTTCTAATGGTGATCTAACACTAATAATTGATTGATGATTTCAGATGTGCGAAAAAAAACACAAAACCTCAAAAAACTCTGCCTGAAAAAAAGCTATTTGGGATTGTACTCTTTCTACATTATTGTATAACTGTTAATAATCATTCAGAAGAAAATGTTTCGCATGCAATGACATGACTATGTTTATTTTTGAAATGTGACATACCAAAGCAAAGTTATTAGGCTTAAAAAAAAAGTCATGATACTCACTTCATTTGTTACAAATGACAAACAAATGAAAATTAGTTTATCTAAGTGTAATGAATTTGAATCAATGTGAATCAAGAGTTTCTATACAATTGAGTAATTAGTTGACTGGTTGGTGGTCAATTGATAATGAAGTATTATTTTTTTATTGTCATTCTAATCAGAATTTTACCTATTAAATTTAAACAACTTTATGTAAAATGATATTCATTCATATCGATTTGAGTATATTTGAACCAATCCACAGTGAATAAAAATGATATAAATAACCGTGAATAAAAAATAGATAGATAGAGAGAGATTCCAGTCAAAAAACCAAAAAAAATGTATCGTATTTTGTTACTTCATATCAGTATTTTCTTCATGTCTACTACTAATGCTACATGGGGTAAGTCACAAAAAAACCAACTTTAGGAATATATATATATATATATATATATATATATATATATATATATATATATATATATACATATATATATATACGAATGCCATTGTTATACCACAAGTTTGCTTGTTCTATTACTGATTATTTATTTATATTTGATCATGAAGTCTTCATATCTGTTTATATATTACTTACTTAATTATTTACGCCTATTAACCCCAATGGAGCATGGGCCGCACACCAGTTTTCTCCAACAAACTCTATCCTGAGCTTCCCTCTACAGTTCTGCCCAATGTTTGTTCATTCCTCTCATATCTTTCTCTATTTCTGGGCGTAGTGTGTTCCTTGGCCTTCCTCTTTTCCTTTTGCCTCCAGGGTTCCATATGAGGGTTTGTTTTGTGACGCAGTTAGCTGTTTTTCATAGTGTGTGTCCTATCCACCTACACCGTCTCTTCCTGATTTCCTCCTCCACTGAAAAATGGTTTGTTCTTTCCCACAGTTCGTTGTTGCTGATGGTGTCTGGCCAACGAATACGAAGTATTTTGCGTAGACAACTGTTCATAAACACTTGTATATTATGGATGATGGCTTAGGTAGTTCTCCATGTTTCCGCTCCATACAGTAGAACTGTCTGGACATTTGTATTGGAAATCCTGATTTTGGTTTTGGTTGAAAGTTGTTTGGAGTTCCAGATGATGCTGCCCAGATATGTAAAGTTGTTAACTACCTCGAAAGCATTTCCATCAAGCGTGATTTGGTTGGTGCATGTTGTGTTGCATCGGAGAATTTTGCTTTTTCCTTTATGTATGTTGAGACCTACTGCTGTAGAGGCTACTACTACACTGGTCGTCTTCTCTTGCACTTGTTGTTGAGTGTGCGATAGAAGAGCCAGGTCATCTGCGAAGTCTAGATCGTCCAGCTGCGTCCTAACTGTCCAGTTGATACCCTGCTTACCTCCAGATGTTGACGTCTTCATAATCCAGTCGATCATCATCTGTTTATATATATATATATATATATATATATATATATATATATATATATATATATATATATATGTATATATATATATATATATATATATATATATATATATATATATATTGTTAATCTAATTTGATGAGGTAATTTTTTTTTAGCACACTCAATTTCGTAGTATCAATGTAGTTTAAATGTTCACGGATAGTTTGATATTTCTATTAAAGTCAGTATGGTATTATTATTTATACAATAAATTATTTCTTTTGTATTCATGGAAGATTGGTTGGAATATGAAAAAGAAGAACCAACCCTTGAAAAGATACTTAGAGATAAAAAAGGTATATATGATGTTTGAAATGGGTCATGTTTTTTACATAATGCTTATTATTATTATTATTATTCTAATAATCTTATTTTTTATGCCCTTTTTTGTTAAAGTTTTTTTTCGAAAAAAGAAAATTAGTGTCATTGACATTTGAATGTTGGTGCACTCACTACAAAATGTGTTCATTGCAAATAAAAAAAAAAAGAAATATTAATCAGAAAATCTTTCTGTTTACATTAATTTCATTTTCTTGTGTGTGCAAGGGATATTAATTGTTTTTCACATTGATTTGATAGAAATGCTTAAACGACGGGAAATGGCTATCGATTCAGCATTGAATCAATTGTCTCTTCAAATAGGTAATGATAATTTGTTTTGTTTCATTTTTATTCAACAGTTTTATCCTTCTTAAAAGTAAAAATATATTGAAACATTGTACAGGAACGTTGAAAATACAGAAAAAAAACTAGGAATTTTTATTGTTCATACGTGAAGTGTGTGTGTGTGTGTGTTATGTACTACTGCTATGACATGGAGCGTTGAAAAGTTTTGCAAAAAAAGGGAAAAAATTATGTGGCTTGAAGTACGTTATCATCTTTACATATCCTAGCAGCACCATCAACAACCAAGGTGGATCGAATGCAGATGTGAGCGTGCCGACTGGCAAAGCAAGGGGTGCATTTCTACAGTTGAAAGATCTATGGAACTCCAAAAAAATTTTCAAATAATACCAAAATCAGGATGTTCAATACAAATGTCAAGACAGTGCTACTGTATCGAGCGGAACCTTGGAGAACTACCAAAGCAATCATCCATAAGATACAAGCATTTAATAACAGTTGTCTCCGCAAAATACTTCGAGTTCGTTGGCCAGACACCATCAGCAACCACGTACTGTGGGAGAGAACGATCCAGACTCCAGTGGAGGAGGAAATCAGGAAGAGACGGTGTAGGTGGATAGGACACACACTATGAAAAACAGCTAACTGCGTCACAAGACAAACCCTCATATGGAACCCTGGAGGCAAAAGGAAAAGAGGAAGGCCAAGGAACACACTACGCCCAGAAATAGAGAAAGATATGAGAGGAATGAACAAACATTGGGCAGAACTGTAGAGGGAAGCTCAGGATAGAGTTTGTTGGAGAAAACTGGTGTGCGGCCTATGCTCCATTGGGGGTAATAGGCGTAAGTAATGAGGGAGATTTTGAATTTGTTAAGCTAAGCTTAATACGTACAACACATCTTGATGTTTTGCTATCAAAAATTGGAATTGACAATTCAGTGCACCTTTTTTTTTGGTTTGTCCCCAAATAATTTAATTTTCATTTATTAATTATTTTCAGAAAATATCAATGAAAAACTGAAGCCTCAAAGACAAAGTATCAATGAATGTATGTGAAATGTTTTGTTTTATTCGTCATCTAATCATTCTTTGAATGTAGTTGTACACTGTGCTAGTAGATTCGCTGAAATTCACCTGAACCCAAAAATTCTAGAAAGTAAGAAATAAACCAAAAAAAAATAGTTTTAAATATTTTATTCATATTTTAATGCGTAGACAAACGGGATAAGACTTGTTTAAGTAAAAATGAACTGTGTCTATATCAATGCTCATTGTTAGGATATTCATCTAATATCCTAAGAGAACTATTATTAGTCAAATTCTATTGGTCAAAATTATGATCGTTTTAACTGTCAAAGTCAATTACTTCAATGTTGTCGATTATTGGTCATCCGGACTGTCAATGTCACTTCAAATGTTACTTCTTATTGGTTGTCTTAACTGTCAATGTAACAGAATTCGATGCTGTTTCCTATTCGACCACAATGTTTAAATACGCATTATCTGTAACATTTTATGACCGCGACCAGGACCAAGGCTCGGTCCCGGATCCTTAGTCCAGGATCCTAATTCTCTTCTGGTTTCGGACCTAGTACTTTCTGGATTCTTGTAGAATACAAGTTCTACTTCATATCATGTTTTCTTATTTTACTCAATATGGGGGTTAGGATAATCGGTTTTGAAACATTCACCCAATTTTCAGAAATATCCTAAATCGTACTTGGAATATCCTTCTCAGTATTATAATAGTTGAATTATTTGAAAAATTCAACTTCTTTAAGTAATTGTTCAAGCAAACTTTATGTGATTACAATTTCATAGTTGTTGGTGTTGACCATGGGTTATAAGTTATGATTTGTTTCACTTTTTTTCCGGAATTAATTAGATTATAATCGCACCATGTCTCACACTCGAAAATCACACAACAGTAAGCAGTATTTTTTTATACTATTTCACATATTAGAACACGCAACTTTTATCAGAGTCTCATTGATTGGGCTGTGTGTGCGTGTATCGGTTGCATTCGAACGAAAATTTTATTCCAGACAAACTTGTTTTCATGATAAAATATGTTGAATAAACTAAATGTTCCAAATTACCGTGTCCTTTTTACAGTTCTTCAACATTTTATTGTGTGTTTTCCATATCATTCATTCCCCATTTAGTATTCAATGTCGCCAAACATGAAAGATGGACAAATTGCTTCCAGAAAATGGATGAACTTATTGGAGGTATGATATGGCGATTAAAATAAGTACTACTACTACTACTACTTCTCACATTGTTTTATATTGTTCAACTTAAATCAGTGATAATCATATTGTAGTTAGAAGATCAGATCAACTTATCATATCCTATCAGAAATTTCTTCAGGAATAAAGTCATGAAAGCATGATGGTCAAATAAGTTGTAATGTTGACCAATTCATAGTTTAGTGAATTCATCTTTAATAGGTATGTTTGAAAATTAAGTAACGAGATAAGAAGCTGTCGATGAAGTATATCATGAGTGATATGAACCAAAATTTAAAGTGATTATCAAGACATGTTCTGCGAATACCTAACCACTGACTACCTCGACGAGCTTTGTTTTGTGGCGTTGTAGGAATAGGTTGGAAGAAAGCTGGGGGCGGCGAAACCAAAACATGGCACAAATCCATGAAGTCATTGACAAGTGGACGGTAGTTGTCGATTACCTGGTTGGAGATCGCGAGATGATAATAATCGATGGTTAGAGACCTTGAATGACATGGCTGAAAATCGTTCGCAATGGCGCCGATGCATTTATTCTTTGTGTTTGCTCAAATCCTATTCTTCTGCATTGTTCAACCCCTCTAGTTTTGACTTTCTATAATTTTTCTCACCGAATAATACTTCTTGAATAGTATCTTCTAATCCTAACCTCTCCGATTACTTCAAATTCCCTTACTACCTCTTCTACTATTGGATTTGAATTGACGATTACTTCTCTGTACTGATGTGGTATGGCAACATGAACTGACTGATGTACTTACGTGCGAAGTTCTACGTTGCATCTCACTGACTGACTGACTGACTGTTTATCCAGTGAATTTATGATAAATTCATTAAAATTTTGTCGTTTGCATTTATATTCAACACAAATCATCGATACAAATAAACTTCTTGTTTGTATTTTTACAGAATCGAAAGAGGATTACACATGGGAAAAATGTCTTCGACTCGCACCGACCAATGGTCCAAGTAGACTTTTAATAAATTATTCATGTTGACATCGATCATAATAAACGTTAATTAGGAACATGACTCCATTTATTAAAAAAAAATACTCTTTATTGACTTAAATTTATGCTTGTGAAAATATACAAATAACACATTTTTAGAGGCAATGTATATTTTTATTGAACTTCGTCAAATATATTCAGTCAGTCAGATGCAATATAGAACTTTGTACGTAAATACATCAGTCAGTTCATGTTGCCATACCACATATTAGCACAGAGACATCGAATTGTCAATTCAAATCCAATAGTAAAAGAGGTAGTAAAAATGTATGAGAAGTAATCAGAGAGGTTAGGATTAGAAGATATTATTCAACAAGTATGTATGATTCATTGAGAAAAGTCAAATATATTCGATAATGGTGCTGTGAACAAAAATAGAACACTTTTAAATTCAATGAAATTCTGATTTCAATTTCAACTTATCATTCATCTTATATATAGTGTTCATTCCATGTGATCTATGAATTGATGATATTAGAAAGATTAGTGATCGCACTGTTTAAAGCGTCAATTAAATGAACGCATAATTCTATTTGCTTAGTATTTTCTAATCTACTTGAACATCAAAACTTGATATTGATCTAGTCAGTGATACAGAAACCAACCTTATCAATCGATTTCAACTTAACATTGTTACTACAATGAAACCAATCAAATTTTGTAATATAAACCTATATTATATATAATTATTTGTTACATATTAATTGGATCATGTTGATTAAAATCATTGATTAAAAATATATTTTAACAAGATTAGAAGCAATAAATTGAACATTGAACATTATTTTTTCAATGAAAGAATATGAAGATTAGTGTATTTTTTTTACACATCTCTTATCATCAATCACTTAATCATTGTTCGGTCACTATTAAAACAAAATCGCAAGTATTGGACGACTGTTTCGTCCTGTTATGAGACTCATCCATGACTCTTACATCTCACATAATCATCTGAATCTGTTAACCTACAATATTGTGTGTGCATGCCTAACCATTGAATCATTAAGGCTGTCATTTAACGGTGTTAAATAAAAAATTTTTTTTTTCAATTTAGATGAAGAACAATTAGAAGATTTATATCTTAAATATATCTATAAAAAGGAGAACGACATTGCTTTCTATAATTCTGAAATAAGTAAGTTCAAAATTAATTTCAAACAAACAATGTTGTATAACTTTCATTATAACAACATGATAACAAAGAGAGAGAAAGATATTTTAATGAATGAATGAATGAATGAATGACAATTCCTAGTTTGTAGTGGTGTTTCGTTCTCTGAGCTGTGGATGTTTTGATTGTGAAGTTTTCATTGTTCTTCCACTGAACAACATCATCATCAGCACAAACTTCAGATGGAAGAAGTGAAGCGCATTCGGATTTCTCCACGCGTTTGACCTGTAACATGTTCTGCTAACCTTGATCTTGATTGGTTGCTGTTGTCTTTTGACCTGTCGTTGTTTGCAACTTTGTTCTGATTGCACCTCCCTTTTGATCTGTTTCTTGATCCTGTGTCACTTATGATTTTTCTGATTAGTTGATAAATTGAGTCAATGTCAATCAAAACAAAGTTGCAAACAACAACAGGTTAAAAGTCAACAACAACCAATCAAAATCGAGGTTAGCAGAACATGTTACGGGTAAAAAGTGGAGAAATTCGAATGCTTCACTTCTATCTAAAAGAGGTTTGTGCTGATGATGTTGTTCAGAAGGCGAACAATGAAAGCCTCATAACCAAAACAACCAGCTTAGAGAAGGAAACACCACCACAATCATCCATCTGAGCTATAAGTTTTCTCCACCATCTCAAAATTTCTAGTTTTTGGCAATAGACTGGCATTGGTTTTTCAATTGACTTCTTATAATTGTTATATATTAAAAATATTTGCTATTTTATACATCATACAGGTAAATACGATACACTTTTTGAAATTATAGAAGATATGAATAAATCACAGTAAACAGATTGAGGATTCACTGGTAATAAATATATATATATATATACATCTGTGTGTGTGTTAATCAGGTTTGTTGTTCTATCTTTTCAGATAAAGAATTTGACATACTGAAATGAATTTTTCGCATTAATGCAATTATTCGTTTAATTTCATTTCGTAATAATTAATTAATTGTCTGTAATGTAATGTAATGTAATTGTAATCATTAATAAATGGTTTTTACATAAGCAAGTCAAAGAATTTGTTTACGGGTTTTACGAAATCTATACTTAGTAGTGACGACTAGCTTGATTAGGAATCTTCTCTAAGTTCTAGTTGAGAAGACGTGACTAATGAAGTTCAACCTGTTCAGGTGTAGACAGTAACTACCGAAGACTGTATATGAGGTTGTGCAACTTCGTGAATTTGATCAAGTTAGACATTAACACCATTAGATACCAGCTCAGTGGTCCGATGGTTAGGCGTTCGTCTACAATACTCAAGGTCCTGAATTCGAATACTGCGAGGTGTAGGAGTCATGGATGCGCACTACTGAGGAGTCCCACACGAGGACGAAACGGCCGTCCAGTGCTTCTTTCAGGTTTTTAATAGTGGTCTAACATTGATCGTTTCATGGTTTCAAAAATGTGAAACACATAAATATTTGACCTTGAACGTATATATATATATATATGTATATATATATACATATATATATATATATATATATATATATACATGAGATAGTTCTCTTTAGAAAAATGAAATAATTTTTGGCTAAATTATCAACATCGAAGGGATTTGCATTCAAACATTCGTCATGCATATATATTTACTCTCCAGAAAATGGATAATTCCTTCTGACTTTATTAAATGATTAGAACAGTTTAAAAGAATGTAAGATTTGAAACTAAACAAAAAAGGTTCAATGCTTCATACACAGTTTTGCATTCTCTAAATGACAAACAAACTAACAGATAGTTAGTTTTATTTTAAAATTTGAAATATTCAGTACTAACAATAAAGTATATGACTTACCTATAAATTGAGTATATCAGGAATTCGCACAGTGATTCGCATTCAAATAAAAGACATGATATTGTGTTAAAATGATTTCAGAATAATTAATGTTTCCAGTTTTATTGATACTAATGATACTCTGAGATAATCGTGTATGGAAATGTGTGGTTTATCAACAAAAAAATCAGCTAAGACAAGCCTGAATACCTTGTAAATTAACAATGCTGTAAAATACATGTTTTTTTCGCTTGATCAGCTTGTTCTGAAGTAATGAAACAAAACATCACATAGTGCTCGTTAACTCGAACAAAACGAACAAACTCGCAAGTTATATATATTAAGGAGCAATAATCTCAATAGTATAAAGCAAAATCCGAAAAGTATGCATTCTACATTTGGTTGGCTTGTACATTCATATCTACACATACTTAATGAAACTCTGATTCAAAGACCCACTTCTGTCAAAGAATTTGGTTCTTGAAAGTACTAATGATATCCTATAAACAAATTCTACCCGCTCACCGAATTAAGCTAACTTGTCAAGAAGACATAATCCTCTGTGAATAACACTTTGTCTCCTCGTCAATACTGTAATTTATTGGTACAAAAAGGTGAATTCATTTCAAATATTTCAGATAAGCTCAATAATTTCCTAAATGTCAATGAAGTGATTATTGCTCCTGAACTAAAAAAAATAATGACATGATTAATTGGAAAAACATACTCAAACAGCTCGTACTAATGAGCATTGGGAAGCATTGTTAACCTAAACAAACCTCGACCATATGTGAAAAAAAAACATTTTTTGAAAAGCGTTCGCTTTCAAAACCATGACATACAATAGTTTTGTAAGCCCAATCATAAAAAAACAGAGAATCTCAGACCAAACTTGATACTGCCTACCATAGTTACGTATTCATGAGCACAAAGACAATATAATTAGTTATTTTCATCAATTCATTATTTCCTCCGTTAAACTTAAAAACAATGTCAAATTCAAATTTTTGAAGGTTAATTAGACAAACATTTTGCACATGATTCACCAATGGCTTGCAACTCAGCTAAGTATAAGCAAACCTGATAATGTATCGTCATCGACAATGTGATGCAGAAAGAATTTAGGAAAAAGCCCTAATGAAGCTTAGAAAATATGTTGACAAAATGATAAACCTGTATTATAAGGCAATTGCTGACTATGAATCTTGATTTTTTGAAATAAAACTAAGAATATCACTGTGTATATAACTTTCACAATCAACAACATACTACTACAAAAAAAGACAAGTAATATTCATTAGTCCCAACAACTTGTAGCTAGAAAACAGATAAAAAAACCATGAAACATCATTCAACTCCTGACTTCACTGATATGCTAGCCTTGGTAACATTAAAGAATTAAATGAACAGTGATACCAGGCTGACATTGCATTTGACATGTCTCTTAGTTAACTAATTTTCTTGACAATAATAAACTGTAGTCATTATGAGATTTCATTTATCGTTAACTAGAAAACATTCACAATGATTGAATTCTCTAAGTGTACAGTTTGTTTAACTATATATTTTCTTGCAAAATAGTCGGTTTATATATTTGTTATTGAAGCAAATGTTTGAATTCAATAAGAAAGCAGTGCTTTCACTTGAAACATACAAGCAAAGTGTCACATAAATTTGTCATGACATATGTACAAGTTGAAATTTTGAGACTTTGGAAATATTCGTGATTTGAATGACCAACAAATACGAGCTCATGGAAAAGTTAATCGATATTAAATATAGCTAATTTAAAATACAATTCTCGAGTATCTGAATACAAGCATATATATGTATGTTAAACGATGATATTTCTTTCACACTAATTATCTCATAATCTTCTTCTATGTTTACATATAAACTAGAATCTATTGCGATGTTTCGAGTCGAAGGTAGGAAGTACAGTTCGGTTTGTACAAAGCAGAATATGGATTTATTTTCAGGAAAAAAAAAGGATGAAAATCTGATATTTGAATGAATCGAAATCATTCTTATTTGATGATTGTTCTTTGGTGAATCGTGATTTAAAATCGAAAAACACTAACTGTAATAATATTTCTCTTTAGTTTATATATAATTCTAGAGGATAGAGCTTATCTTAAATTCAAATGTTGGTAAGATGTAATTCTCAAGTCAATCTTGCCAAACTTGTAAAACTGAATGAACATGAACAATGTTTTTTTATAAAAAAGGAACAACTCTTTTCAAAGGCACATGGGGTGATTACACCGATTTGTAGGCAATCGAAGAACTTATCAAGGTTTTGAGAAAATGAAAAGGTACCATTATGTAGTGTTTGTAAAATTTAAAGCAATGTGTGCAGGTTCGACAGTAAAGACTGGACTTTGCAGAGACGCTGAAATAATTCGACCATGAGGAGAAACAGGCGTCAAATACACAAACATTTGCATTGATCCTATCTGAACAGGCAGAAAAATTGCTGATGTAATGGAAATCTTATGCGCTGGAGGTTATTGCAGTCTTCTTGAATACAAATAAATAGTGGGTTAAATAAACGTCCTATTAATTAAATGTTCACCTCTCAATTAATATTGGCGCACCTATGATTGAGGAGATCAGTATGGCCATCAGACAAGTCAAAAGGCGGCAAAGCAGCTGGACCAGACAACATTCCAGCAGAGGCAATGAAAGCAGATGTGGAAGCAACTGCGAAAGTATTTCACATCCTCTTCAAGAAGATTTGGGATGAGGAACAAGTACCATCAGATTGGAAAGAAAGATACCTGATCAAAATACCAAAGAAAGGTGATCTCAGCAAGTGTGAGAACTACAGACGCATCACTCTTCTTTCAATACCAGGCAAAGTCTTCAACAGAGTATTGTTAAACAGAATGAAGGATTTCGTAGACGCCCAACTCCGAGATCGAGCTAGATTTCATAAGGATCGATCATGTACTGACCAAATTGCTACATTATGGATCATTGTGGAACAATCAATTGAATGGAACTAACCACTCTACATCAACTTCATCGACTACGAAAAAGCATTCGATAGCGTGGATAGGAAAACACTGTGGAGGCTTCTTCGACACTATGAGGTGCCTGAGAAAATAGTTAACATCATACGGAATTCTTATGATGGATTCAACTGCAAAATCGTACACGGAGGACAGCTAACAGACTCTTTTGAGGTGAAGACCGGTGTCAAGCAAGGTTGCTTACTCTCACCCTTTCTCTTTCTCCTGGTCATCGACTGGATTGTGTAAACGTCAACATCTAGAGGGAAGCACGGTATCAACTGGACAGTTAGGACGCAGCTGGACGATCTGGACTTCGCAGATGACTTGGCTCTTCTATCGCACACTCAACAACAAATGCAAGAGAAGACGACCAGTGTAGCAGCAGCCTCTGCAGCAGTAGGTCTCAACATACATAAAGGAAAGAGCGAAATTCTCCGATGCAACACAACATGCACCAATCAAATCACTCTTGATGGAGATGCCTTGGAGGACGTTAACACCTTTACATATCTGGGCAGCATCATCGACAATCAAGGTGGATCGGATGCAGATGTGAGGGCACGGATTGTCAAAGCGAGGGCTGCATTTCTACAGTTGAAAAATATCTGGAACTCCAAACAACTTTCAAACAAAACCAAAATCAGGATTTCCAATACAAATATCCAGACAGTTCTACTGTATGGAGCGGAAACTTGGAGAACTACCAAAGCCATCATCCATAATATACAAGTGTTTATGAACAGTTGTCTACGCAAAATACTTCGAGTTCGTTGGCCAGACAACATCAGCAACAACGAACTGTGGGAGAGAACAAACCAGATTCCAGTGGAGGAGGAAATCAGGAAGAGACGGTGTAGGTGGATAGGACACACACTACGAAAAGCACCTAACTGCGTCACGAGACAAGCCCTTATATGGAACACTCAAGGCAAAAGGAAAAGAGGAAGGCCAACGAACACATTATGCCGAGAAATAGAGAAAGGCATGATA